GCGCGAGCTGCACTGGCTTCCTGTGGTCTTCCGGGTGCGCTTCAAGGTTGACTACCTTTAAAGCGCTCCATGGCTTAGGGCCGGGGTATCTACGAGACCGCCTTCTGCCACCAATAGCCTCCCACCAGCCAGTTTGCTCGCACAGAGAGGGCCTCCTCAGGGTGCCGTCGGCCAGACAATGTCGGCTGGCAACCCCCAGGGGGAGAGCCTTCTCTGTGGCGGCACCTGCCCTCTGGAACGACCTACCCCCAGAGATACGGACTTTTCGTCGGGCCCTGAAAACTCATTTATTTCATCTAGTCGGGCTGGTTTGATCCCATCCTTTCGGTTTTAATTTGTAATTGGTTTTAACTGGGTTGTTTTAAATTGATGGCCAAAATTATTTAATGTCTTTTAAACTGCTTTTAAATTTTATATGTTACGTTTTACCGTGGCCCAGTCACCGCTCGCTTACCCCGCCCACCTCATCAGAGGCTTTTTTTTTTTTTTTAACTTTTAAAAGCATTTTTTTCTACAACCTCTTCGGCCGAAAAAATGCTTTTAAAAGTAAAAAGAAAAGCCTCTGATGATCCCGCGGCTCAGCTGGGATCGTCAGAGGCTTTTCAAAGCATTGTTTTGTGCAACCTCTTAAGGTTGTAGAAAAAATGCTTTTAAAAGTAAAAAAAAAAAAAAAAGTTGGCCACGCCCACCCAGTCACATTACTCCTCCCCCCACCAAGCCACTCCCACAAAATATGCCATGCCCACAGAACCGGTAGTAAAAAATTTTAGAACCCACCCCTGGTACAGATGGCCCTTGACTTAGGACCACAACTGAACCTAAAACCTCTGTTGCTAAGCGAGACGGTTGTTAAATGGAATTTTGCTCCATTTTACGACCTTCCTTTCCACGTCTCGCTTAGTGACTCACGGCAGTCATGACGTTAGTAGCGGGGTTGTTAAGTGAATCCGGCTTCCCCATTGACTTTTGCTTGTGAGGAGGTTACAAAAGGGGATCATATCACGTGACCCCGGGACATGGCAACCGTTTACAGAAGCCTGCCAAGCGTCCGAATTTGGATCACGAGACTCTGAGGATGCTGCAACGGTCGTAAGTGTGAAAATTGTTCATAAGTCACTCTTTTCGGTGCCGTTGCAACTTCGAACAGTCACTAAATGGACGGTTGTAAATTGGGGATTATCTGTACTGCATGAGGTAGATACATCCAAAATGGTATCTTTTTCATCTTTTGTTAACCTCAAGGGCATTGTCGACCGAAACTCCTCTGGCATAAACTTCAATAAATACATAAAATTCTTTCTAAATTCCAGGCTCTTGGTGGGAGGTGGGGAGAGGCTGACCCTGAATGGTTCCCCTCCCTCTGAATTCACCTACACCCCCCCCCAAAAAAAACCTTTCTTTCCACTGTTGCTTAAAGTTGGCTGGCGAATACCTGAATGCCAATCGATCAATAAAGAAGAATTAAGCGTCGGATGCTAGTTTGCCACAAGAGTGGATCAGAAAATGGTCCCTGGTGCTGACAGCCTCAAATGTTGGCCTTCCGTCTGACCCTTTTGCTTCCTCTCTTGGTTTAAGATAAGTGATAGTTAAGGATCTGCTAGCATTTCCTGGGAGATCGAGAGAGGAAGCAGGACGAGAGAAGCTCATTCTTGTGAAGCCACATTAACAGAATCTTGCAAGTCTGAAAGTACAGTTCTAGCAACATCTCCTTTACAGCTTGAGAAATTAGGGAGGGTCCCTTCTGACCCTCCCACTATCCAGCGATGCTGTCTCTTAACCAGTGGTGAAGTCCAATTTTTTTTACTACCGGTCCTGTGGGGCGTGGTCCTGTGGGGTTTGATGGGTGTGGCAGGGGAAGGATACTGCAAAATCTCCATTCCCTCCCCACTCCTGGGGGAAGAATAATGCAGAATCTCCATTCCCTCTCCACTCCTGGGGGAAGGATATTGCAAAATCTCCATTCCCTCCCCACTCCTGGGGGAAGGATATTGCAAAGTCTCCATTCCCACCTCACTCTGGGGCCAGCCGGAGGTGGTATTTGCCGGTTCTCCAAACTGCTCAAAATTTCCACTACCGGTTCTCCTGAACCGGTCAGAACCTGCTGGATTTCACCCCTGCTCTTAACCGGCCATTCCCTTGGTAAGGTTTCCTTGCTGTGAATCCCAAGGTCTTCCCCACATACCATGACAGGACCTCAGGAGAAAGGAGGAAGAGGATCAGAGGTGATATTCAGCCGGTTCGCACAAGTTCGGGCGAATTGGTAGCGAAAATCGCGGGTGGGTGATTTTTAGGCATGTTTTTGAGTCCGAGTGCATGCGCGAAAGGCGTGCGGGGCGAACTGGTGGTACCAAAATGTGAAACCCACTGCTGAAGAGGCTACAGCAGGAAGCCAAATTAATCCTCAGACCCACCTTTGAGGCAGTCTGTGCTTTGCTGGCTGAGGAATTCTGGGAGTTGAAGTCCACAAGTCTTAAAGTTGCCAAGGTTGGAGACCCTTGCTTTATTGGATATACCATTTTGGCACAGATCTAGTGAAAACCGAGACTGAAGGTTCCTACAGTTTTCACCTAATTAAAAGTAAAAATTTGTCACTTTCTCTTCAAGTTTTTTTATTTTTTACGAACATATCAACGTGTGAACAGTGTGGCACCTGAACGTCATACATTTTGATACAAATAAAATAGTATGAATCATATTTGTTCCATTTTTTTACAAGCTCATACAATCCTATTAAGAATATACATATTTTTATTAAATTATAATCTGTCTTTATTTAGTTATTCAATATTTCAATGTGTCGTTTTTATGCCAATCACCCCAGGGGTGGGTTCTAAATTTTTTTACTACCGGTTCTGTGGGCGTGGCTTATTTTGTGGGTGTGGCTTGGAGGTCATATGGCTAGGTGGGCGTGGCTAGCTGGTCAGAGTCATTTCTGGAAGGTCCTCGCACTTACGACCAGTCCTCGCACTTACGACCTGACTCATTTGTTTGCTTTAAAAAAATCAGCTGTAGGGCGGCCCTTTGAAGCCCCACGGCAAGAGTTTAAATAGTTTTTTTCCCTCTAGTCATCAGCTGGGACTCAGGAGGCAGCAATAGATTGGGGGTGGGACCAAATAAAAGGTACGAATAAGGTGGGGGGGTGAGGGGGTGGGAGGGTGGGGGGGGAGAACCGGTTCGGTGACGTCATATCGTCACCGCTACCGGCTCGGCCGAACCGGACCGAACCGGGAGGAACCCACCACTGAATCACCCTATTCTAAGTGTCATACCTTTTTAATACAAATAGAATATTATTAATCATATTTATTACATTTAGCAAGCTTATATAATTCTAATAACAATACAGACAATTTGTCACTTTCTCAACACAGTCAGTGACATGGTCCAATCACGGCACTGTCTGGTTGCCTGGTGATATCACTCTGCCTCCCTCTGATCAGGTGTGAGAATGTCCTTGGTTCTCAAGAGAAAGTGTTTTGTTTTGGCTACAAAATCCCAGCTGTCTCAAATCTCCCCCCTCCCTATCCCTCAGCTCCAGTGTGGCAACCCTGAAGCTGTCAAGATGGCCTCGGTCAGGTCAGCTTCAGGGTTGACACCCACTCCTTAGTAGCCCTGATGATGTTCCCTAGTTTGGGTCATGAAAAGTCTGCAAGAAAACAAGCGAGCTCAGAAAGTGTCCCTCGTCGCTGCTCATCTCAAACCTGGGATTATTCTCTTTGCTCACTTGCGGCTGGGAGGGCATCGTAGAAACGCTACTCTTGTGTTCACACAATGCATTTAACCTGCTTTCAGAATTAACCCTCTGTTCAGGGGTGAAATGTAAAATTTGTTACTACTGTTTCTGTGGGCGTGGCTTGGTGGGGGGGTAATGTGACTGGGTCGGCGTGGCCAACTTTTTTTTTTTAAACTTTTCAAAGCATTTTTTCTAATGCTTTGAAAAGCCTCTGCCGATCAGGCAACTCAGCTGGGATCATCAGAGAGGCTTTTTAAAAAATACCTCTCTCACGATCCCAGCTGAGTTGCCTGATTCAGCAGAGAGGTATTTTTTAAAAAGCCTAAAAAATTCCTCTCTGCCGATCAGGCAACTCAGCTGGGATCGTCAGAGACTTTTCAAAGCATTTTGTTTACCACCTCTTCGGCCAAGAGGTTGCAGAAAAAAAGGCTTTGAAAAGCCTCTGACGATCCCAGCTGAGCCGCGCGATTATCAGAGGCTTTTAAAAGCATTTTTCGTCGGAAGAGGTTATAGAAAAAATGCTTTTAAAAGTAAAAAAAAAAAAGCCTCTGATGATTGTGTGGCTCAGCTGGGGATGGGGGGTGGGCGGATTTTTGCTACCGGTTCTCCGAACCACCGGCTTCATCGCTACCGGATCGGGCGATCCGGTCCGAACCGGGAGCATTTCACCCCTGGGTGAGGTCAACAGTAGATAGTCTTAGGTTAAAATTTTGGGGGGTTTGGGATGAAACCACAGAGTCAGGTAGTGCATTCCAGGCATTGACCACTCTGTTACTGAAGTCCTATTTTCTGCAATCGAGTTTGGTTTTGACTTTCTAGGGCAGGGGTGTCAAACTCAATTTCATTGAGGGCCGCATCAGGGTTGTTTGACTGTGGTGGGGGGGCAGAGTAGGCGTGGCCAGGGTGGGCGTGGCCAGCTCGACGTCACTAGTGTCGGGGGCGCCTGTGGAGGCCTGAGCTCTCTGCCAGTGAAAATGGGCTCTTGAGCTCCGTTTTCCCTGGCAGAGGCACCACAGTCTGGTCCTTTGCTGTTTCCAGGGCAGCACCTCTGGCTAGTACCCCGCATGCCGGATCCGGCTTCCGGGCCTTGAGTTTGACACCCCTATTCTAGGGAAAAGTGACAGACTTCTGAGCCCGCATCTCTTTGTAGCGTCCCAATGTCAGATTCACATTCCCTCTTGATCTCTCCATGAAAGTAGAGCAAACCATCTTCACTTGACCTCCCTGGCAGGGTCCTTGACTCACTGCTTTCTCTTTTCTACCCCAGATGTATGGACGCTACACCCAGGACCTGGGAGCATTTGCCAAGGATGAAGCGGCTCGCGTCCGGCTGCAGCAGGAGCGCTGGAAATTTTCCCCGAAGGAGCGGCTGCGTCCCTCCGAGTTTCTGGAGTACGACCACGGTCGCTGTGCCTGTTGCCGTAGTAAGTAGCTTGTTCTGGGCTGAGCATGTCCGTGCCAGGCCTAAACCCTGTGCATTTGTTTTGGTCACCACGCTATAAATAAGATGTTGAGACTCTAGAAAGAGTGCAGAGAAGAGCAACAAGGGCGATCAGGGGATTGGAGACTAAAACATACGATGAACGGTTGCAGGAACTGGGCCTGGCTAGTCTAGTGAAGAGAAGGACCAGGGAAGACATGATAGCAGTCTTCCAATACTTGAGAGGCTGCCACAGAGAGGAGGGGGTCAAGCTGTTTTTCCAAAGCACCTGAAGTCCAGACAAGGAATAACGAATGGAAACTGAACCAGGAGAGATTCAGCCTGGAAAATAAGGAGAAATTTTCTAACAGTGAAAACAATCGACCAATGGAACAGAAGTTGCCTTCGGAAGTTGTGGGAGCTTCATCACTGGAGGCTTGCAAGCAGAAACTGGACAACTGAAATGGTGTAGGGTCTCCTGCTTGGGCGGGAGGTTGGACTAGATGACCTCCAAGGTCCCTTCCATCTCTGTCATTCTGTATTCTGAGGGACGCAGCCGCTCGTTGGGGAAACTAGGATGAGGACTTAACATGTTTAGTGAGCTCATTCTTTGTTTGCAAACAAGTGCTTTAGACCTCTGGGTTTCTAGGTGCTAATTTTATCCTTCGCCGTGGGCATGTCAATAAGTGGTTTGGATTACAGTGTTCCGTGGCTCCCTTGATTGAAAGGCGCAAAATGCATCCGTTCTGTGAAGCGGATCGGGAAGGGGGGAGAACCAGAATGAATTCATCGCCATTAAAATATGTAGGTGATCTTGTGTTCTGGGTGTCCCAAAGGTGCTTTTTCAAAAGGTGATGGGGGCTTTGTTTTTCCTTGAAGATGTTTCGCTTCTCATCCAGGAAGCTTCTTCGGTTCTGACAGAAGAACCGAACAGTCAGAACTGAAGAAGCTTCTTGGATGAGATTTGAGACGTCTTCAGGGAAAACATCGTTGCCTTTTGAAAAAGCATCTTTGGAACAACCATGTCCTGGATGACTGAGAATCTCCATAGACGAGTGTTCTGGATATTACATGTTTGCTTGGAAAGGGGGAATGGCATCCCGCAAAAATACCCCTCTTCCTGACAGTGGTGGGATTCAGCTGGTTCGGGCCGGTTTGGGTGAACCGGTATTTAAATTGCTGGCTATCCCCTCCCTTCCCCGCCCCTTCCAGGAGTTCCCATGCACCCCATTTTGATTCCTAGGAGGCTGCAGGGCCAAAATGGGTGCGGGGGTGCGCATTCCTCCTCGCGGCCTGTTTTTGCTCCCAGGGGGGTGCAGGAGGCTGAGTGCTGCTTGTCAGACCCCCTGGCCACTCCCACCATGGCCACGCCCACCTAGCCACTCATTAGGGTAGAGAACCGGTTGTTAAATTATTTGAATCCCACCACTGCATGCTACCATTTATCTATCATGGGCCTAAACCAGGGATGGGCAAATGTGGCTCTTTTACAACCTGTGGACTTCAACTCCCAGAATTCTTGAGCCAGCTGTCTCAGGAATTCTGGGAGTTGAAGTCCACAGTATCAGCACTTCAATCTGCATTTACTCTAGTGCTGACATAAGAAGGAGAGGCGGAGGCATCTGAAAAGGGACGTTTGACTTTTCACCTACTTATTTTCCCTGGAGATAATATCCCCTAGGAGATGGGATGGGAGGGAGGAAATTCCTTTGAGCTGGAGCGGTAGATTAGGGGTAGAATGACTTGGAAGATGGCCAATGAGTGCAGGAGAGTGGGGAACGGAAAGGGAGGGTTTTGGGTCTGGAAGTCAGTGTTGGCTTCGATGGACTCGGGTGTAGAATGTCGTGCTTAATAAATAGGAGTTTTCCTTCAAGGACTTTGTTTGAAATGCAATTTATTTGAGACGACCTCGAAGCCTGACACACAGGTTGTAAAAGAGCTACATTTGCCCACCCCTGCCCTAAACCAAAAGGCAAGGCATTTTCAATGGGGCCCTTTATTCCCAGTTGTGTGAAAAAATAAGTACACCCTCTTTGAGTTATATGGTTTTATCTATCAGACCTAGGGGACCTCCCAGATCTCTCAGAGCAGGGCTCTCCAACCTTGGCAACTTTTAAGACTTGTGGACTTCAACTCCCAGAGTTGAAAGCTGGCTGAGGAATTCTGGGAAAGGAATTCAGCAAAGCTGGCTGAGGAATTCTGGGAGTTGAAGTCCACAAGTCTTAAAGTTGCCAAGGTTGGAGACCCGTGTCCCAGAGAACACTCTGTGCATGGAAGTGATCTGCTTAATAGGGCAGAAAAGAGAAAGAGATTCTAGGTTGATCCCTCCTTGATAGGTTTCCATCCGTTACTTCTTGTCTGGCCTTCAAGTGCTTTGGAAAATAGATTGACTCCCTCTACTTCAAGGTTGTCAAACTCAAGGCCCGTGGGGCTCGATCCGGCCTGCAGGGTGTTTAGACCCTGAAAAAAAGGAAACGGGGGCCCTCCAAGGCTCCGTTTTCGGCCGCGACAGCCTCCTGCAACTCTCCGCCAGCAAAACTGGACCCTGCTTTTGCTGGCCTCTCCTGGCTAGCAAAACAAACTAAAATCAAAACAAAAGGAGAAATGTTTCCCCTTTTGCATTTGAGCATGCAAGAAGGGGCAGGAAAGGAGAAAGGGAAAGAGGAAAGACAAAGAAAAAGAAAAAGAAGGGAAGATGGGAAGAGAGCAAGGAAGGAAAAATAAGGAAAGAGAGGAAGGCAGGCAGAAGAAAGAATGAAGAGGGACGGAAAAAGAACAAGAAGGAAGGAAGGAAGGAAGGAAGGAAGGAAGGAAGGAAGGAAGGAAGGAAGGAGATAATAATGAGAGTGAGGGAGGGTCTGAGGCAGTGGTGGGTTTCAAAATTTTTTACTACCGGTTCTGTGGGTGTGGCTTGGTGGGCGCGGTATGGCTTGGTGGGTGTGGCAGGGGAAGTTACTGCAAAATCCCCATTCCTTCCCCAATCCAGGGGAAGATTACTGCAAAATCCCCATTTCCCCCCCCCCGATCAGCTGGGACTCGGGAGGCAGAGAATAGATGGGGGCGGGGCCAGTCAGAATTTTTACTACCAGTTCTCCGAACTACTCAAAATTTCCGCTACCAGTTTTCTGGAACTGGTCAGAACCTGCTGAAACCCACCTCTGGTCTGAGGGAAGTCCTGCCTTAGCACTTGGCCATCACAGGTGCCCCGGACACTAGTAACGTCAAGCTGGCCACGCCTACTCCTGCCACACCTACACCCCCCCCCCCAGGGTCAAACACAACCCTGATGCGGCCCTCAATGAGATCAAGTTTGGCACTCCTGCTCTACTTTATGGCAACCCCTTAGATACTGGAACACAGCTATCATGTCACCCCAGTCCTTCTTTTCAGCAGACTAAAGGTAAAGGTAAAGGTTCCCCTCGCACATACGTGCTAGTCGTTCCCGACTCTAGGGGGCGGTGCTCATCTCCATTTCAAAGCCGAAGAGCCAGCGCTGTCCGAAGACGTCTCCGCGATCATGTGGCTGGCATGACTCAATGCCAAAGGCACATGGAATGCTGTGACCTTCCCACCAAAGGTGGTCCCTATTTTTCTACTTGCATTTTTTACCTGCTTTCGAACTGCTAGGTTGGCAGAAGCTGGGACAAGTAACGGGAGCTCACCCCATTACGCGGCAGTAGGGACTCGAACCGCTGAACTGCCGACCTTTTAGTCGACAAGCTCAGCGTCTTAGCTTAGTTTAGTCTTCAGCATACTGAACATACCCAATTCCTGCAACTGTTCTTTATATATTTTCATAGATTCCAGCCCCCTAATCATCTTTGTTTCTCTTCTCTGCATTCTTTCTTAAGTCTCTAAAAAGGGTTCTAAAAGGATTAAGTATGTTGTATGAACCAGCAAGGTAAAGACATTGTACATTTCAATGACAGGCTCAGAGAAGCCTCTCCTCACAGGTCTGCCACACATCATCGCTGCCGTCAAAGGAAAGATTGTGCGGCAGAATTTAATCTGACACCCTGCAGATAATATAGGATTACAATTACCTTTGTCCCCAGTTTTATGCAGATTAACCATTCTGGTCTGGGAGAATGGGAGTGGTGGTAGCTCAGCCAGACGTTGGGAAATTGGCACTTGTGTACAGAAAGAAATGCACGCGTGAGAAAACCGTGTGGTTGTGTGTTCATACAGTCCTTAGGAGGCAGACACCAAAAAAGCCAAGTGTTCGGGGGAATGCTGAATTGGGAAGGAACTGAAAGAGATGGGTTTACACCAGTGGTGAAATGTAAAATTTGTTACTACCGGTTCTGTGGGCATTGCTTGTTGGGAGGGGTGGGTAATATGACTGAGTGGGCATGGCCAACTTTTTTTTTTTTTTTACTTTTAAAACCATTTTTTTGGCTGAAGAGGTTGTAAAAAAATGCTTTTAAAAGCCTCTGACGATCCCAGCTGAGTTGCCTGATCGGCAGAGGCTTTCTTTTTTTTTTTAAAGCCTCAGATGATCGCACGGTTCAGCTGGGATCGTCAGAGGCTTTCTTTTTTTTACTTTTAAAAGCATTTATTCAGCCAAAGAGGTTGTAGAAAAAATGCTTTTAAAAATATATTTAAAAAAGCCTCTGATGATTGCCCGGGTCAGCTGGGCATGGGGGGGGGGGGCAGGGATTTTTACTACCGGTTCTCCGAACCACCTGCCTCCATCGCTACCGGATCGAGTGATCCGGTCCGAACCAGGAGCATTTCACCCCTGGTTTACACACCACACTAAGCCCCCTTCTTCTCCCCAAAAGGGAAGGCTTAAAATTGAGTATACAGAATAACAACGAAGTTGGAAGGAACCTTGAAGGTCATCTAGTCCTACCCTGCTCAAGCAGGAAACTCTATGCATTTCAGACAAAGAGTCATCCAGTCTCATCTTAAAAACCTCCAGTAATGAAGCACCCACAACTTCTGGAGGCAAATTGTTCCACTGGTTAATTGTTCTCAGTGTCAGAAAATTTTTCCTTACCA